AGATCTTGACTTTCTCATTCTCTAAAACCTTCTAAACCTGATGTTCTCAGTGGTTTTTGCTGTACTCAAATCCAAACTTTTGGATGAATTTAGCAACGTGGTCATGGCATTGTAGGTAGTCAGTTTGTGAAATTTTGCTGCACCCACTGATCAAGTGGTCGACTGTGACATTTGCTGTTGGTGGTAACAAGTTGAATTTTTGCAGGCAATATTATTATTATTGTTGTTGTTGTTATTATTCACAGTATTACTGAAACGGACAATTGTGCAATGTGTATTTTGCAACAAGCAACACCTGCACAGATGTTTGTCTATATTAGATCCTAAGAAGGATGTTACAAACTTTGAGCAATTCTCAACTTAAAGTGATAAAGTTAAAGTTATACTGACAAGGTAACTTAGAGCAAGTAAGCAAAATAATCCACATTGATTATTGCAAAGACTTATAGACATCAACCTGAACGCAAGCCAAAGATTGTTTGTTTGTTTTTTAAATAAAAATTAGGATTGCTGCTGTTGTTGTTTTTTTAAATCATTTGTTGTCCTGGTGGAATAAATCAGCGCTTGGTCTAATTCAAGGCAGATGGTTTTATTTGGCAGAATGGACTTTCAACAGGGGTTGCAAAAGGGGAAATGAAGTTTTATCATCTCCACGGTTGCAAGAACAGTGGATGCGAGAGCCCGGAATATTCCTATATGCATTATGCAGAGCTGTGGATCAATGGTCAGGCTGCTACTGTGAGGTCCAGGGACAAGGCTTCTGGTGTAAATCTGCAGCTTGTTATCTTGCCCTCTGCTTCTTATTTGAAATTTGAATGTCAAGAACATAGATATCTTAACAAAGTTATTGGGAGGGGGGAAATGGGATAAAGAGAATTTAGGTATTTCTTTGGCTATTTTATTCACACAGCTGCAATCGGGCCACATATACCACTGCAATTATTCCTCCTTTAATAAGATAAAGGCTATCTTTCTTTGCCAGGCTCCCTAGTTAAATCTGCTTTAGAGCAGAATCCTCACCCAGCAGGCAGTGGAAAACTGTATTACGTCCAGTATAATTTCTATCCGAAAATGCAATCAGTACCTTATAGATGGATGCTATTTTTATAGACTCTCTCCGCAGTTCCTGTTCCCCTCAACACCCCACAACTCGGTAAACAGGGAAGCTGGAAGCTTCATTGTCTGTTTACCAAGAAAGATCCCAAGGAGGATTAAAACAAATAAGCAAACCCAATTCAATCCCAGCTGCAGCTGTGATCCAGGCTACATAAAACATTTCAAAACAAGAGAACAAAAAGAAGGAGGAGTCACAAGGGTGAAGAAAAACAGACCCGAGGAAAAGGTGAAGGGCAGCTGAAGATGTGGCTGAATAATAAGATGGAGAATCGACAGAGAGACCTTTTGACTGAATGTGAAGAAATAAAGAAACTGCAGGGACTTGCTCAGACAGATACCAAGAGTCAACATTGATGCAAAGGTGAAAGCTAAATAAATAAAGTAAAATGAGAGAGAGACAGAGACAGAGAGAGTCAGAGAGAGAGGGAGGGAGGGAGAGAGAAAGAGAAAGAAACAGACCCAGATTGTTGGGGGCAAGAGGCTGACTCTGTAAACTGCTTAGAGAGGGCTGTAAAAGCACTGTAAAG